TAACGTTCCAAGCCTGCAACCTAAAGTGACGTACTCTTTCAGTGAACGCTGCTCAGTGAGTCTTTCATATCATGCAAAAGCCACATAAATAGTAGTTTGCAGTCTGTCCATGCAACCTGAACATGAACAGATATAATTAATATAATATTGAATGGCAAGGTTTTTACTTTTTGCTCAAAATATCAAACATGTGTGATGTCCACCCATTGAGGCTACAAAAAAATCAGAGCTTGTGCCCATCATTACACTATGTGCTTTTCTGTGAAACCTGTCAACTCTGAAAGGCCAAAGTCTGCAGACTTGCTCTGACTTTCTGCTGTAAAGCAGCTGTGGCAAGACAATAGTGCCATTATTCAGCTCCAGTCAGTGAAGTACCCCTGAAACCTGATTAAGTACTCCCAGTAACTGGCTCTGATTCTCTGTGTGTTAATGGCAGACGCATCTCTTTTCATCTCTTTCTGTAGGTTCTTCGAGGTTTCTCCCTGTCAGATCTGCAGGGGTTTGTGGAGGAACAGGAGAAGCAGGTGGACGGGGGTGTCAAGAGTCATTATGCAGGAGGAGGACACATGAGAGAGCAGAGATCTGTAGAAAAAAGAGGAAGAGGAGCAGGTAGATCAACTAAGAACTTTAAAAGCCAGAGCTTGAAACTCTTTTTTTAAATGCTCAAATGCACATTGGAATTGTGTCGGATAATGTGACAAGGAACTTGTTGTACACCCGATCAAACTGGAGAGGGCAGTATAGTGTTGATGAACTACAACTTGTTATAGTTTTAATTATTTTATGTGAATCAAAGCATTTATCTGATATGATCTAACCTAAACTTTACACAGCCAAATTTTGATGTTTCAAACTGCTGTGTGTTTGTGATGGTGCAGACACTGCCCTGGCAGATATCGCTCTGAATATCTTGTGCTTGCTGATGAAGGACCAGTGGAGCTGGCTGTGTACAGAAAACATCCAGAAAACCATCAGACTGCTCTTTGGCACTTTTATTGAAAGGTGAGGTTAGGGCTGGGCGATATAGCTGAAAAATTTATCAATGATATAATGTCTCATATCGTTCGGTATCGAT